CATCCATCCTCTGTCTCTCTTGTGTGTTCAGATCATATGCTCTTTGGGGCCCTGATGTAGGCTAGATGTTATTGCAAGACAAATAATAAGACCTGGACTGGCAAGGAAGTAACAATTGTCACTGCAAGAGGAAACCAAGGCCTTTTATTGACTAACTAGCCAATTAGCCCGTCATAAGACAGGATTTTCAGGTCTCTCCTCCACCTTGGTCTTCTCTCCTGAGCCTCCAGTCTCTCTCTCTCCTCCTACTGCCTCCCCCCCCCCCCCAGCTCTCCTCTGCCTTCTGCCTCTCTGTCTGTCTCTTTCTTTCTCTTCTCCCCCTCCTGCCTCTCATTCTCCCTTTCTCTTCTCCTCCTCCTCCTGCCTCTCCCTCCCCTTCCCTTCCCGCCGTGGCGCTCGGCTGAGTGCTGCCTGCTCAGCCGGGCCGCCGCAGGGGAGCCGAAATGCATGGGGAGCGCCGACCCCAAAGGGCTGCTTGCTGCTGCTTGCTCGCCCGCGGTGACCCAGCTGAGCTGCGCAGCACTCAGCGGAGCGCCACGGCGGGAGGGGAAGGGGAGACGGGGCGCTGACATACATGGCCGGGGGTGTGGCCGTGTACATCAGCATTACAGACTCACAGACATTGGGCTACTATATATATGATATTAAATGTCCTCTTGATGGTCTAACATTTGGAGAATAGGGCAAAATTCAAAATGATCTGGAGAAATGATCTGAGGTAAATAGGATGAAGTCTAACAAGGACAAATGCAAAGCGTTCCATGTAGGAAGGAACAATCGGTTTCACACATACAGAACAGGAAGTGACTATCCAGGAAAGAGTTCTGCAGAAAGGGATCTAGGGGTCATAGTGGACCACAAGCTAAAGATGAGTCACTAGTGTGACACTGTTGCAAAAAAAGCAAACATGATTCTGGGATGCATTAACAGGAGTGTTGCAAGACAGGAGAAATCATTCTTCCGCTCTACTCTGCGCTGATTAGGCCTCAGTTGGAGTATTGTGTCCAGTTCTGGGCACCACATTTCAAGAAAGATGTGGAGAAATTGGAGAGGGTCCAGAGAAGAGTCATAAAATTGATTAAAGGAATAGAAGACGAGATCTGTGAGGGAAGACTGAAAGAACTGGGCTTGTTTAGATTGGAAAAGAGAAGACTGAGAGGGGACATGATAGTGGTTTTCAGATATCTAAAAGGGGGTCACGGGGGGGGGGGAATTGTTCTCCTTGGCCTCTGATGTTAGGACAAGAAGCAACGGGCTTAAATTGCAGCAAGGGGGAGCTTTAGTTTGAACATTAGGAAAAAATTCCTGAAGGTGAGGGTGGTTAAACACTGGAATAAATTTCCTAGGGAGGTTGTCGATATCTCCAATGATGGAGATTCTAAGAGCAGGTTGGATAGACATCGATCAGGGATGATCTGGATCAGTGTGTCTTAAACTTTTTAAGACCGAGGAACACCAAACAATATTTTTTTTTAATGCGGCATACCAAGGATTTTTTTTGTTGACGGGCGGGGGGGAAAAACGTCGGGAGAAAGTTATTGAGTTATTGAGCCACAGAACACAGTTTAAGAAACATTGCTCTAGATGGGGCTTGGTCCTGCCGTGAGGGCAGGGGGCTGGACTTGCTGGCCTCCTGAGGTCCCTTCCAGTTTTAGTGTTCTATGATTTTATGGTCTCCCTACAAATCAAAGGGAATTGGTCCCCCCAACCTGCAGCACAGATGTGATGCCCAAATTGTACACAACAGTCTTTGTGCCACGCTTTGCCCTTGGAAGAATTCGGAAAAGCAATGGAATTGCAGGTGGCTTTAGGAACTTGCAGCCTCTCCGGGGCCTCCCATGTTTGGTACGGAAGGGAAGGGATTTCCAGCCTTTGGTTTCGAGTCTTTCCCTGATGTAGTGGCTGAACCAGTGAGATTGAGATAATGGAGTCCTGGGTTGAAAGGAAACAGTGTTAATTCAGAGAGACTAAATAAATGACACTGCTCTACATCCCCTCTTTAACGTGCACTCCCTCTTCCCCGGCTTGAAGAGGGGTCAAGGAGATTGAGGGGGGGAGCCAGAGAAGGTCAGGTGAGTTTTCCATTTCATTCCACACAAGCCTGACAGCACTATTCTCCATGGGGTCTTTCATATTCAGCAGCAGTGAATAGACTCTGATAGCTGTGAAGGGATCTGGCACTGTATGAACGGCCCTCCTTAAACGTCCCCCCCTCTCTCCCACACCGCCTTTATTCCAGAGGGCTTCGAGAAAACGGGGAATTAATGCTCATCCTAGTGGTGTCCCTCGAAGATCAGAAATGTCATTTTTGTCCTTGTAAATGGAAAGCCCATTGCTGTCAACGCAGCAGCGTACGCTCCCCTCTCTCTGCCTCCTGCTGGGAAGGACTTTCCCCGTCACGTTTGTGGGGAGGCAAAGCAGCAGGCAGAATTATGCTGGCTGAAGCGTTCCTATACCTGCTGGATTAGACCTGAGTTTCTAGCTGTCTCCGAGAAAGGTGCAGGAACCATGCAGCAGGGAGGTGTGGAGTATTCCTTCCCCCCCCTTCCCTGAGGCTCTGACCCTAATCATGGAAAGTTGGAAGGGATCACCAGGGTAAACAGTGGGGCAGACAGCCTCACTGGGCCCCTGGGCAAGGCGGGAGACCCTGCTCTGCACCCCCAGAAAGGATGGGGCTGGTCTAGGCATTAGGGGACTCAGCTGCTGTGTGTTCGAATCCCTTCTCCCTCTCTAGGTGGGGAACTGGAACCAGGGGTGGTCTCTGACATCCTGCCCACTAGGCTAACAATGGGAAGGGAGGGCTTGTTCCCTCTCCCCCTCCCCCCAGCTACTTTCCTCCTGATCCCGCACGGCTCCTATGAGCACCTGTCTTCTAGTTTGAGGATCAATAGGGGACTCAGCTGCTGTGTGTTCGAATCCCTTCTCCCTCTCTAGGTGGGGAACTGGAACCAGGGGTGGTCTCTGACATCCTGCCCACTAGGCTAACAATGGGAAGGGAGGGCTTGTTCCCTCTCCCCCTCCCCCCAGCTACTTTCCTCCTGATCCCGCACGGCTCCTATGAGCACCTGTCTTCTAGTTTGAGGATCAACAGCAGAGTTCCTTGCAGCCCTGACTTAGGCAAGAAGAGCAGGGCTCGGCACCCCTCTGGCCTCCAGTCATTGGCTCCCCTGGGCTGGCTTTACGGATCATGACCCAAGATTCCTGTCCTCTCTCCCCGCCACCCATCCGAAGGGGAGCCTAGACAGCCAGCTCAGGCTTCATGGCTTGCACTGTTATTCCTGTGATAATTTTTCTTCTTCTTCTTCTTCCTCTTCTTCTTCTTCTAGGTGCCTAAAAGTGAAACTTCACAACACTCTGTGTCACCGCGCCGAAGTCCCCGACTCGAGACTGGCAATGTACTGACAGCTGCACGGCTGACTCACTGCTCGACCTTAGGCAAGGCTTGGGAATCTGGTGCCTCAGTTTTCCTCAATGTGAAATGATCCCACTGACCTATTCTGCAATGTGCTTGGAGATAAAGTGCAATACCCAGAGCGTATCCATTACAAAACCCGAGTAATGCCCCCTGGTACAGGGTGACCCTAGCCCAGGGTTTCCCATCCTATGGGTCAGGACCCAAATATGGGTCGCCATTACATTTCAAAAGGGACACCAGGTGTCTCCCCAGGTGGCTCTTAAGAAGCCAGTCACACATTTTTTTAATTGCCCTGGGTCAGCAAGTCTTCCTGAATTGTCAGAATGGGTCCCCATTTGAAAAAGGTTGGGAACTACTGCCCTAGCCCTTTAAGAGGGCGGGGCCAGTGAATTGGTGACTGGTCACCTGATCTCGGCTGAGCTTAAAAAGAGGGCATGTGGGCTTGAAAAGACAGAGCTGATGAGGCTGAGTGTGCTAGGCTGAGCTGGACACTGGGTTCGCACTGTCTGCTCCCCCTGGGAGTACTGATTTGGTTTGTTTGCACAGTAAAACTGTTCTGCACTGGCAGTGAATATTCAGGATCTCAGGAGAAGCTCTGTCCTGTTGCCCTGCTATTTCCCCTTTAAGATGATTCTTAGCCATTCATACATACCCTTGGTAGCAATCACAGCCATTCGCTGGGCCTGATTCCCTGTTGCCCTGCAGTTGGGATAGTCGGTGGCTCCCATTGCAATGCAGGTGAAAGGATGGACAGACCTGAGTGGCTGCCATTTTGATTTGGAAAGGTCTTTGATTCTGTGGTGCTGACTGGGGGAGGTGCAAAGCTGGGGAGAATCAGGCTCTGGGTCCATGGGAAATGTGTATTGTAACAGGGAGAGAGGTAAAGAAGTGACAGACTGAGGCAGGGCAAACACCTCAACCTCTTGTCTCTGATGGTGACTCATTCCTGAAAGGACTCAGATTTCTTGATAGAGGAAACGCTATGTAATCTTGCAATTCAGACAAGCTAGAGAGTATGGAGGTGCTAGTCAGGGTAGCTAACTCCAATGACTTAAACAAAATACAGGTCTATGTAGCACTTTAAAGACTAACAAAATGGTTTATTAGATGATGAGCTTTCGAGGAAGTGGGTCTGGCCCACGAAAGCTCATCATCTAATAAACCATCTTGTTAGTCTTTAAAGTGCTACATAGACCTGTATTTTGTTTCAGCTACACCAGACTAACACGGCTACATCTCTATCACTATTCTCCAATGACTTAGTTTTTAGAAAAAATCATCAGCAATTGTGATATTCCCCCCCGCCCCCCCGCCTAAGAAAACTACCACTGTAAGAATTCATCCCAAAGGTAGGAATTTTCTCAGCCAGTGGATCACATAGCTCAAGCCAGACTTTGAAAGCTCTCCACTCCATGTTAAAAATCGTCTCCCCTCTGGGCAGCGGTGTTGTTACGTGCAGCAACCTGGCATTGAAGAGATCAGGGTAAAAAGAGAATCCTTTCTTCAGCTGGTTTGGCCACAGCATGGTGTGCCTAGGCCGTTTCCCTGTGTCTGTGGGGAGGCTTCGCTGAGACTAAAATAAAAGCTGTTCCTTAGAGTCTGTTGGCTAAAATGCTCTAATATACCCGAGTGTAGCTGGGGCAAATCCTATTCGAACATATTAGCTGACAGAGGGGGGCATAGAGCTCACTTCTATCCGGTACAGCCCTGTCAACTCTAGTCTCCATGGCTGACTTGCTAGTGTCTTTCACCCGTTTTAAACGCTGTATTTTTCCCTTGTGTTCCCCTGGGTCGGTTAGAGCAGTGGGTTTCACACTTTTATTTTTCTCATGACCCAGTGGAAGAAAATGGTTGACACCGCAACCCCACATCGTTTGACTGGAGTGTGGGCTCCGGGGTGGGGCTGAAGATGGGAGCTTCGGGCTGTAGGAGGGGGCTCTGGCTTTGGGGAGCATCAGGGCTGGGGCAGGAGGGGCTTATCTTGAGCAGCTCACAGACAGAGGTGCAACGTGGGGGCTAAGGCAGCTTCCTGCCTCTCCTGGTACTGCAGACCATGCTGCCCCCAGAAGCAGCCAGCAACGGGTTCCCAGCCACTGGGAGTGCAGAGCTAGTGCTGAGGGCAGGGGCAATGCACAGAGCCCTGGGCGCTCTTCTTCCCCCTCTGCACACACACCTAGGAGCTGGGCTTGTTGCCGGCCGCTTCTGAGGCGCAGCTCAGTCTGCAGTGCCAGGACAGGCAGGGAGCTGCCTTAGCACCCCCACTGCAGCAACGAGACCCGGTGCCCAACATTTGAAAACTGCTGTGTTAGACCTCTGGGCTTTGTGTTTCAAGTGTGAGCTCTTTGAGGCAGGGAGTGCCTTTCTTTTCGGTTTATACTGCGCCTACCACTGTGGGGTCCTGCTCCACAGCCCGGTTCCTTGGTGCTTGGCAGCCTTTGGTCGGGGAAGGAACATTAACAAAGGAATTGCAAGAATCTAAAGAAGCCCCAGGGCTGTTAGCTAACATGAGTTAGCTTTCAGGGACTATATCCAGTGTTCCCTGTAAGCCAGTCAGAAGAGATTCAAATGCTGCCCAGTTGATTAGCAGAGTGCCTGTAGCTGGCAGCATGTGTTTCTATTGGGGGTGCACATCTGCACATGCCTTGGTGCACATAACAAAATTTATTCCACACATGGATGGAAAAAGTTAGAGGGAACATTGTGTTCCCCAGCTATCGTGGTTTCTTTTAACTGATCCCCTTGCTCTGGCTGTTTGAGTAATAAATTATCTGTTTTTTTGGTCAGTTATGTTTAGCTGGACTCAGTCAGCCCTTCTGTCCCAGAATGCTTAACGGCCCCTCTTGCTTTATTGGAGAGGCTGGAACAGCAAAAATGTCAGGCATCCAGAGTTAGCCTTTTGTTGTTGAAATGGATCCCCCTGTCCACTTCTGTGCCTGGGAGTTTAACTTCCCTTTGTCTGGTCAGCACATGCCTTTCCTTCTGGCTTGCTCCTTGCAAATCACATCAAGTCCCGCCCACCTTACCTGGTTGCCAGGTGAGGAAGTCTTTACAAGTTGATCTGCTGTTTCTCTGAGTGAGCAGCAATTCCCAGATCAGTCAGTAGGGCATACAAATCATTGTACAGAAATCTCGGATTCAAATTGTGGAGGGCACGGGGAGGGTAGGCAGGGAAGATCCATTAAAAATGAAATGCACATGGCCCTCCACTCTCCCCATGCTTCCCTGCTACATTAAAAGCCCACTTGTGGGCGAGGTTTGCAGATCTGAGCTAAGTCTATGGAAGTCTTCTCTGCCCCAAGGAAGGACATACAAATCATTGTACAGAAATCTCGGATTCAAATTGTGGAGGGCACGGGGAGGGTAGGCAGGGAAGATCCATTAAAAATGAAATGCACATGGCCCTCCACTCTCCCCATGCTTCCCTGCTACATTAAAAGCCCACTTGTGGGCGAGGTTTGCAGATCTGAGCTAAGTCTATGGAAGTCTTCTCTGCCCCAAGGAAGGAGTCCGGGGTGGTGGGGGGGGGGGGGGGGGGGCTTTGGGACAAAGCCCAGTGGTGCCCCATGGAGACGCAGCAATCTGCTGGCATAGAAAAATATGCAGGATTGGGACGTTTGGGCAGCACCTCATTTGAGAGCAGGGCTTAAGAAGCAGCAGTTGTAGCAGTGTTGTGTGGGGACGGGGCTTGAGCCAGACAGTACGGATCTGGATCAGAACTGGGGGATTCCCACCTGCTTTCAGACCCTTCTGGGTAGAATGTGGAGCAGAGCAGTCTCCTTGGTAACGTGAGGGCTGTAAGCTCTTTGGGGCCTGGACTGTGTCTTTGCACCACACCTGGCCCGTCATGGCGATGCCGCTAGGTGCTGCGCTGCTGTAATATTAATACACTGTGCTGCCGTGTTTAAAAAGATCCGAGGCAGAGCGGGCCCTGCAACCAAACCCCATAAATGTGCTAGGCAGGTGGGGGGGGGGGGGGGGGGGGGGGAAGGAGCAGCGTAGCTCCACCTCCCCCTTTCTGCAAACTACTTATCTGTGCCAGGAGCCTGGAGCTCTCTGCATCCCTGCCAGGGTGGCTTTATTCACTGTGGTTCCTGCAGGGCAAAGATGGGAGTTGACCCGAATCCTCTGTTGGCTCTGCAGGGAGGGAGGTGAGTCTGGTATTACCGGCTTCAGTTTCAAGAGGCACTGGCTCTCTGAGGCTTTTTAGTCACTCTCTGGCCAACTCGGTGGCTTGATCCGGACACTTTATTTGCTCCGTGTCTTTACCAGTCTTAGAGGAAACCCCTGTCCAGTTAAGCGAGTCTTCCTCTTGTGGTTCATCCACCCAGCCCCAGTTGTGGGACCCAAACAGCATGGGACACAGTGTTCTTGTAGCCAGCTCGGTCTTGGGATGTGAGGGAGATATGGTGGGAGAGGTGATGTGTATATAGTGGACCTATTTGGTCAGAAAGACGAGGTTCCTGTAAACTGGAAACCTTGTCTCTCCCCTTAAAGAAGGAGGTCCAGTAAAAGAGATGACCTCTCCCATCTTGTCTCTCCAAACTGGCATTGAACTAGTACGTGCTTATGCTGTGAGAGGAAGAAAAGGGATTTTTTGAGCCAGGTGCAATTTATACCGAAAGGGTTTGTGGCAGCTGCAATATCTCTTGCAATCGGCTTGATCCGTACTATACACCTGCTGTTGCTGATCAGTACAATGGGATTAACCTTCTGATTAAAATGTAGCAGGGGCTGGCTGTGCGGCAGAGAGACACCTCGGCCTTGTGTCCTGATATAAGAGCCACTGAGCGCTTCGGCCTTTGTCTGAAATTTTTGGGCAGCCGCCTGCTCCCCCTATTTCTTAATTAATGCTAGAAATTCCACTATGTGATGAAGTGGGAACGGGGTTTTACATCTGAGGTTTTTGAGCCCCTGTCCATGAACCAGCGATGGGCAACCGAGGCTAGTGAGTGGCCACAGGAGTGGCCTCCTTCCTCTCAGTGGGCTGCAAAAGTGTTGTTTCCAAGACAGTCTCCCGAGA